CGAGTCTGCAGGAGCTGGCAGGTGACTGAAGCTGGCAGGCTGAAGAGAATTTCTAGGAACCAGGAAATCCTATTTTTATTTCTTAAATAAATTCTGCAGTCTCCTTGCAAGTGGTTGAAGCTACTGAGCTAGTCTGTATGTATATAACTTCTGGTCAGTGATGGGCAGAGCTGAGTGTAAAGCAGAAACTATTTGTAAACACACTTTTATGTAAAATTCACATTTTATGATTTGAAAGGAGCTCCCTGGAACTGTTCATTTAAAATCCTTTTGGTGCTAATGAAAGTGGTCCTGTTTTCTGTTGTTCAGGAAGAAGCAGGAGGTTTTGCTTTCCAGCTTTCATACGACCAGAAACAATTTACAAACAAAATCCATGTTTGTTCTACTGCGGCGCAATTGCATTCACACACAGTGAGATATTTCAGTCTCTGAGAAGCAGTAAGCAGAGCAGCAGTGATCAACAATAATGCTAATTCACAGTCCAACAGATAGGAGTTTAAGGAAAGAAAAAAGCATAAATGATCAAACAAAGGAATTATTTCAAAGAGGATTTGTAAGGCAAAAGTCAGTCTTGAATGTAAAGCTACTCCCAAGTTCTCACACTGATGTTTCCTCTTTGAAAAGAAGATCTAAACCTTTAAAACCAGGAGGTGCTTTTCAGAGAAGGTAAAACAGAGGGGGGGAGAGGAGATGGAGGGGGTAATCTAAAATGACTGAAGCAGCGACGGAGGACTTGACTGTGTGTCTTTTGTAAGAGCAGTGGAGCAGTGTTGGCCTGTTGACACTGGAAAGCCCGGAAGCAATCGGTGATCCGGCTTTTGACTAAATACGTGAGTTTCTGTGAGGAAGAAGCAGCCCTGAAACGTTCTGTGGCTCTGGGTTGACTGAGAAGGAAGAGGGGCACAGAGGGTGAGCCCCTCAAGAGCACAGCCTGTTGTGTCCAGAATCGGGCTGGAGGTTTCATTCAGCGGCTGAACATCTTGCTGCTGGCAGATGGGGGTCTCGTGGCGGAGGCAGAGGAGGTGCTGGAGGGCAGCTGAGCAGCAGTGGCAATAGTTACCCTGGGCTGAGTTTAACCTCCTGGTGATGATTAGCCCCTCGGTCCTCTTTCACATCAGGTCGCTTAAGCCGGAGTAACAGCACTTTTCCGTGTATGATGTTTGGTGAAGCTCCTGGAAGGAGAGGGAGTTCTGCCATCTCAGTTTGAATTTAATATGCAAATACCCCCCGATCCCTGCGAGGAGTTTCTTGCATGTGCCTCTGCTGCTCTGTAAGTCACCACCAAGAACATCGACCCCAAACTTGGACCTGCGTTCGAGGCTCTGTGATGTTGACTTCAAACAAACGTATTTGGGAAAATTCCAGCCTCACAGTTCCCCTGTTCGCTGCTGCTGCACACGTGTTGATGCCCACAGGTAAGTTTTGGAACTAGATTAGTTGAAGTAGAGATCCAGGGCAAGAGAAATGTGCTGTAAAGTGATAAGGAAGGTGGTTCCCATGATAGTGGAGCTTGGCCTGATTGTGGTTGCCTTCGTGGTGCAGGAGAGTCGTACAGCAGCGGCAGTGTCCATGCGGAAGGAAGCTGCTCTGGGGCAACGGGTGAACAACAGTCGTCTCTTTGAGGCGGGATTAAATACCGCTGAACTCGGGGACGAGTCCTCAGTGGCCATGTGGTGGAGTTCCCCCACAGGAGTGTTGCAAGTGAAACATCACCAGCTTGCACAGCTCTCCGCTGTCCGGGGCGGGGGCTCCTTCTCAACTGGTGTCCGCTCTCCTAGGGAGGCGGCTCTTCAGTCACAGCCTGTCTCCTGCAGAATCCGAGGCGCTTTGAAGAGCATCCTTCCAGGCATTTTCCGCTATGCACCCTGAAAACTCCTCTGTTTTACATAACGATGCCAGCGCCGTGCGCCTGGTGATTGCTGCTTGTGCACAAGATACGGATATGGCGGGTGGGGGCAGAGATCATAGATTCAGTCATTCAGGCTGGAAAAGACCTTTGAGATCACAGAGTCCAGCCATCAATCCCCCTCTACCCAGCAAGCACTACATCTAAACAACCTTTACACACATGAAGGGATGGTGACTCAACCGCCGTCCTGGGCAGCCTGTTCCAATGTCTGACAACCCTTTCGGTGATAAAACTTTCCTGATGTCAAGCCTAAACCTACCCTGGTGCAGCTCGAGTCCGTTCCCTCTTGTTCTATCATTAATTACCTGTGAGAATTTGTTCGGTTCCCGGCTCGGGGCTGTGTGGCGGGAGGACGGAGCAGGCTGGTGTCCGTCTGCAGGGAGCTGCTCTGGCTGAGTGGGGACAGGAACGGCAGCCTGTGCCTTTTGCTTCTGGGAAGAAATACAGACCAAGTCTTAGGGCTTCGTGTTTCTGATACCTGTGAAAGCAGGATTATGTTTTAATCGGGCATAGGGCATGTCCAGGATATGCATAATGTTCTGGGGCAGAGGTATCCAGCAGCACCCACTCCAGACAGCAGCGGCTTTCAGCCCCGTAACCTTCCCTGGGCAGCTGGTCCTCGAGTGGTGTGGCTGAAGCGGGTGGCCCAGGCTGGAACGGCAGGAAGCAGGTGAATGGGATGTTTCCTGCTACCACCAGACTTGCTGGTTTTAAATAAGGGTATTTAAATGTGGACAGATCCCCCTAACCCAAAGAGGTGCCTCTCCCATGTCAGCCCTTTTCAAGGCTGAAACGTATAAAACACAGAATGATTTTCAACCCTCTCCTTTGCAAGCAGCAAACCTTGCCCTGACTCCGGTGAGGGAGCCGTGCTGCTCAGCAGCGCTGGCGGGGATCGGGGACCTGTTGCGATCCCTGTGGGGAGGCCAGTGAGGCAGCAGGGATGCTGCGGAGCTTGGGCTCTGCTTGCCCACGTGTAGAGCTGCAGGGCACCATGTTTTCTCCTTCCTCCCTTGCCCGGAGCATGGGAACCTCACATTGAGGTTTGCTGGGTGATGTCTCTCCTGGCCGGACCTCAGCCTCAAGCAGGGGGGGCTTCTACCCGCTGTCCACCAAGCCCAGCCTCTCCTGAAGGCTGCTTGCCAAAAAAGAACCCTTTTCCATGTTCTCCAGGGCTGGGATGCAGTGAGGCTGTGGTACAACTGGTCTCTGCAGTCTCTGCCAGGGCTCCAGGCAGGAAAGATGCAGATTGGTGGAAGTTAATCGCTCTTTCCCGTAGGACGTGACTCAAAAGGGTCCCTCGTGGTGTGGAAACGCGGCCCCAGATCAGCACCGTGACGGCCAGAGCCCCGATGCTCTCCCTGCTGCGTGGGGCCCTGGTTTACCTCCGCTTTGTCCTGCTCAGTCCTGAATAATGGAAGGGCTGCAAGTGGATCCGCCTGCCTCGCCGTTGTCCTCAGGGGGAACATGGAGGCTTGGCCACCACCCTGGCCTCACCCTGCCCCTCTCCTTGCTGGGGATCAGGTGTCGGATGGGAGCTGAGCCCAGGCAGGGTGAGGGCTGGCCGGTACCTGCAGTGGGTCACCCTGTGCTTGTCCCGCTCCAGTGCTCAGCTCCAGCCCCAGCTGGGAAGACTGGTCCTCCGCAGGCTGGGTCTGTGCCTGTGCCTCTGTGCAGCTGTGTGCTCCTCTCAAAACAGCCCTTGCACCTGGGACTTCCCTCTCTCCTCCAGTTTATTCCAAGAACAAGCCAAAATGTGCCTTTTAGCATCATCTAAGGCACCTCTCTATCCCCCAGGCAAAACAATAATTCGGCGAGCAGAGTGCAAGCGCCAGGGTTTGGGACAGGGGGACGTTTGTGAGCGGCTCCTGGTGCCAGGGTCCCAGTTGTGCTGGGGTACTGAGGCTGTGCCGAGGCCCTCGCAGGGTGGGGACGGGTGGAAGGACCCTTTTCCAGCACCTCAACCAGCATTTGGGATGTGTCCCATGGCACAAGGGGGCGATGGGATGGGCTGGCTCAGGCTGGGCTTGTGGGACTTGCTTGGAGGGAAGAGGACCCAGGACCACAACGTGGTGGGCACCGGGGGCTGTGTCCTGGCTGTGGATTCCTTTCCCGCTCCGGGCAGGCTCATGGATGTGCCTGGAGAGGGTCAAATCCTGCCCTAGCTCTGCACCCCAAGATGGCATGTGGGGACCAAAGGGAGATTCTGGTGGCTCTGCAGCACCCCACAGCAGTGCTGTGTGTTCCCCAAAAGGCACGTTTCTGTGGCGGGGCTGCCCATTGCACCCACAAGCGTTGGGGACCCCAGGGCTGTGCTGGGTGCCATGACCCTCCCACCCTCCTGTCCCGTCCCACTCGGTGGGTTTTGGGGCAGGTGAATCTTTCGTATCCTCCCTTTTAAAGGAGTTTTCCCCTGCACAGCAGAGACCCTTTGCTCAGCAAAGGTAGTGAGTTAATAACCCTCTTTGGTCAGTAGAGTGGCAGCAGTAACGCACTTTTGTTAAAGGTAAACTTTACCTTTATCCGATCTGTAAAATATTATTACTACTGAAGGTAATGTTTCACAGATCGGATAAAGGTAAAGTTTCACAGATCAGATAAAAATATGGCTTTCCCTAATTCTATCTAATAATATGGAGAGAGAAGAAAAAAAAGAGTGAAAAAAGAGAAAGAAAGAAAGAGCGAGCATTTCCCAGGGCTTGGTGCCAAGTCCCGAGGTCTTGGTGCCTGCTGCTGGGGTGCCACGCTTACCCGAAAGCCTTCTCCGAGTTGTGGGTCACCTGCGTTTCTTCTGCCTCCAGCTCCAGAGCTGCTGCATGGGGTGTTGCAGGGCAGCCGCGGGCGTTGGCAGGGCTGGAGGGGTGGATTTTGTACCTGCCTGAGTGAGGCATCCTGCCCAAAGGGGACGGTGTGTGGGTGCCTCCTGCTGCCCTGGGGCTCCCCTGGGTGCTCTAGGCAGAGGGGTCAGCCCCAGGGGTGCATCCAGGTGCCGCCCCACCGTCCCGTCCAGGGGAAGGTGGTTCTCCCCATGCTGTGCCCTGACCCGATGCTCCCCTTCCTCCCACAGGCCTCGGGGTGCCAGCCCTGTGCCATGCGGTGATCCCTGAAGTGCTCCCTCACGGCTGGGCTTGCAGCCTCCTTCCTCCTCCTCCTCCTCCTCCACAGGGACAGCCGTCAGGAACAGGATCCCCTAGAGGTGAGTCCCTCACCATGGACGTCCCACTGGAGGGGCCACTGGAGCATCCTCCATCCCCACCTGCCCCACATGGACCCCAGCCCCAGCTCTGCTCCTTTCCCCACCCTGAATCACCCCCAAACCCCAGCTCTGCCTTCTCTCCCTGGGGTTGCCCTGTGCACCTCCCCCAATCCAGGAGCAGGGAGGGCACGACAGGGGCTCCCCCTCATTTCTGGCCCCCCCTGTTGTCATTCCCCCTTGTTCGCGCATGTCCATGGTCCTCTGGAGTCTGACACGGCTGCCTGGGGCTCCCTTCCAGGTGGAGCTTAGGGGCTTGGCCCCAGACATGGTCCTGCAGATGCTGCAGCCAGGAGCCCAGCACATCCTGAGGGACATGGATGACCTCTCTGCGCTCCACAATGTCACCTACCAGCTCCTCGCTGGCTCCCCCTCACCCCGTAAGAGTAAGTGGCTCTGGGTTTGCACATCTCCCCCATCGCAGCTGCACGTCCCAGCATGGACCTGCCCCATCGCTGCTGCGCCAAGGCAGGGAGGGGTCTGCTTCCAGACTTTTTGGGGTGGGGGACCTGCTGATACCTTGTGCCCTCCTCCCTAGTCAGCCTTTGCTGCTTGCTCTGGGAAGATGGAGGGGCAGAAGAAGGTCCGCATGCTCCAAGCACGGTCCATGATGCTTCTCCAAGCATGGTCCACCTTGGGACTGGAGTGACTGCAGATGTTTTGGGTTTCCCAGGTCTTTGTGGAGAAGGTGGCTGAGGTACCACCTCCCTGGGGTTGAGTTTCCTGCTCTCCAGTCAGGATGGTGGAGATGGTGGGGCTGGACTGCCAGAACAACGGCATAGTGTGGGAGATGTGGGTCAAGCTCTTAGGCAGGTGCACGAAGAGCAATTCACATGCAAACACCATGAGAAGGAGCTTAGGGCAGCCCCACGCGAGCCCATGCTGAAACCAGAGGTCCAGTACGTGCATGGTGCTGCACAGACCAGCAGCAAGAGAAGCTGCAGTGAAGCTGAACAAATGCAGCCACAGCTGGGCTGTGGGGAGGGCAGAAGGATGCCTCATCCCAGTGTGATTGCATCTCCACAAGGTCTGGAGTCGGGTAAGGGCATGCTTCTAGGATGTGTAGCCATGCCACAAAGCCACCCCTGCCCTGTAGAGTGTCTCTGCACTGTTCCTTCCACAGGTTTGGCTTTTTTTAAGGTGTTCTTCTCAAATATTTCTTCTTCAGAGGAGCTCCTGACTTCTCCTCCTGTCCTCTCCCTGCCATTTAGGCCAATTTTGGGCAACTTCCGAGACGGTGGGGGCTTCACCTTCAAAAAGGACCTGCCAGCCTTGGACATGGGGCCATAAGTAGCATTAACGGTGTGGGTTGGCCACGCAGAGCTTTTTGGAGCCCCCTCGTTGTGGCTTGCAGGGACAAACCTCACCGTGGTTCATCCCAGGTCACCCCTCAGCCTGCTAATGCCTTTCCTTTGCTTTGCAGAATTCTTGGCAGTGGGGTTGGCATCGGTGCGGCGGCCACGTGGCTACTACCTCCCGGCCACGCTCCAGTCCCTCTTCAAGCAGTCGACGGAGGAGGAGCTGCAGGAGATGGTGGTGGTGGTGCACCTGGCTGACGCGGACCCCACATGGAACACGCACATGGCCACCAACATCGCCCGCAAGTTCGCTCACCACATCCTCCTGGGTCGGCTCCTGCTTATCCACGCTCCGCAGGAGTTTTATCCCACCCTGGAGGGCCTCAAAAGAAACTACAATGACCCAGAGGAGTGGGTGAAGTTCAGGTCCAAGCAGAACGTGGACTATGCCTTCCTCTTCGCCTTCACCGCCAACCTCTCCTCTTACTATTTGATGATCGAGGACGACGTGTGGTGCGCCAAGTCCTTCTTGACAGCCATCCGCAAGGCACTGGCTTCCCAGGAAGAATCCAACTGGGCCACCCTCAAGTTCTCCAAGCTGGGCTACATTGGGAAGCTGTACCGCTCCAGTGACCTTCCTCGCCTGGCTCGCTTCCTCCTCCTCTTCTACCAGGAGATGCCCCGTGACTGGCTGCTGTCCCACTTCTGCCTCCTGCTCACCCAGAAGGACGTCATCCGCTTCAAGCCTTCCCTCTTCCAGCACATGGGCCTCTACTCCTCTTTCCAGGGCACCATCAACCGGCTGGAGGATGATGAGTTCCAGGCCGATGCCTTGGACCTTCCGGACAACCCGCCAGCAGCCTTGTTCACCGGCATGTCCGCCTTCGAGAACTACAAGCCCCTCAAGGCGTACAGCACAGCAGAGGGGTATTTTTCGGGGAAAGACCCAGCAGCCGGCAGCGTCTTCTCTGCCGTCTTCCGGCAGC